GCGCCCAGCAGGGTGGGGGCAGAGCGTGCTTGAACCCAGGGAGGAGCAGGGAGGACCAGCAGAGTGCCCCTTTCCTCCTAACCGCCTGCCCCTGCTCCCCTGCCTGGGACTCCCTCATGGCCCGGAAGTTTCCTGTATCTGCCCCGAAAGCAGCAGAAAGCACTTTCCTGGGAATTCCAGGGTTCAAAGTGGTCTTATCTGCCCCCAGAATGCCCCGGCAGGCCTGGCAGTGAGGGAACAAATCCCATTGCTCTTCACACCTGCTGCTGTCACCAGAGGGTGACCTCGGGGCCCTTCATGGTCCTCCTCCCACCTCAGCCTGAAGGGGAGGGTCACCTCCTGGAGCTGTCTCCTGCAAGGGCCCCAGCACGGGGAACACTCAGCCCAAGGAAGCCCCTGAGATCCTTTATGATGTCTCCCCGCAGGGGAAGCTCACCTCCAGGCTGGAGGGCGCGGCCCTGGCCGGCAAGGACGGCGCTGCAGGGAGTGGGCTGTTGGGGGCAGCACCGGCCTCAAGCCCCAGTCCTCCCATGCGTCCACCTGGTCATTCGTTCCTGCAGCAGAACGTCTCCTGAGCACCGACTACAGGCCATGTGCTGTGCAGGGGACGGAGCGCACATTGGCGAGGGCCACGCTGTCCTCACTGAGCTCACAGCCCCTGTGGCACATCAGATGGGAGGCACGTGGGGAGGCCGGGGTCTCCGTCCTTGCCCGAGAGGAGCTCACGGTCTCAAGAGCTGGCACAGCGTGAAAGCGCTGGGAGAGGGTCTGCGCGACGTCTCCGTGGACACACGGACACACGACAGCCAGCCGGGGAGCGTGAGGCCTGCAGACTGGAGTCCGCCCGGAGAGAGGGCAGGAGAGAGGGCAAGCCTGGAGATGGGGGAAGCACCACCGGCAAAGGCCTGGAAGGAGACCTAGAACCTTCCAGAAGATTGGAAGACCTGGAGCAGCAATGATCCTGGGAGCCGGGGCTTAGGCAGGAAAGGGGAAACCACCAAGGAGCTTTAGGCGGAGGCTGTGAGTGGTCAGATTTACATGTTAGAAAATGGCCCCGGTGCGAGGGCGGGTTGGAGGACGCGGCCTTTGCCTGGCAAGACGGACACCCGACCTGCAGTGGGGGAGGTGCCCACGGGACGGGGGCAGACTCCACAGGCTTAGGGGACAATCGACAGGATGGGGCAACCATCTGGATGTGGGGGCATTCAAGAAGGAAGCCGCCACCCAGCCTCTGGCTCCAACAGCAGGAAGGACAGTTGAGCTATTCACCAAGGGAGGGCGCGGGGACAGGGAACAGGTTTGTGGCGAATGGTGAAACGGTTCAGTTTTGAACTTGCTGAGTTTGTTGTGTTTGTGGGACAGCTAAGAGATGCTAGAAAGTGTCAGATGTTCCTGCCTGGACCTTGGGGGTTACAGATTTGGAAGGCAATGGCAAACTGACGTCATATGAGGTCATACAGTTTGTAAATGACAGCGAGGATAAATCCAGAGGGACACCATCATATAGCAAACAAGGAAAGCAAAAGGAAGAGAGACCCAGGGAGAGCTGAACAAGAGAGAGAAGAAAAAATCAGGGAGAAAAAGAGTGAGTGCATTCGGGCTTTTCTGCATAGAACGGCAAAGTCAATTCAAACCGACCTAAATAACAAAAGTGATTTAAAGGCACACGGGACACGTGAAGAGCCAGTGCTAGCTTCAGGTTCAGTTTGATCCAGCTGCTCTCCCAATGATATCCAGGATCCAGTCTCTTTCTGTCCTTTGGCTCTGCCTTCTGCGGATCAGCTTTATTCCAACACCAGCTGCCAAACACCCAGGTTTCCTACTTCCCCCTCCAAACCCCAGGGGAAAGAGGCCACATGACCAGAGATCTCCCAGAAGAGCAAGGAAACTTCTTACCTAGAAACTACCAACGAAACTTTCCCCCAAACTCATGATCTTGTATGGGTGCCGGCAGGAACACACCAGCGGCCAGAGGGAGGAGCGGCCCTGGGTGGTCGCTGAGGCTGCCTCCGTGGCTGCGGGGCAGAGACAGGGGCCGCCCCCAGAGAGTTCGGCTCCCCCCAGGCTCCCTCTGGCCCGGCTCCCTGCTGTCCAGGGCAGTCAAAGAGCAGGTCCCCTGGGCCAGCCACAGTACACGGTGGGCGGTGGGCGGGAGCGCGGAGAAGGGCGGCACTGCTGCGAAGTGTCAGAGCCCGGCCCTCCAGGCCCTGCCCGGCCCTCTGAGCCCCCCCTGCCAAGGCTGCGCTGAAATCCGTCTCCTGAGACATCCGGTGCAGGAGCAGGGAGGTGGGGCTCGCAGACACTTGCTGCAGACCCCACCGCTTGCTCCGCAGAATGTGGCCTCGTGGAGAGGGCCTGCCAGAAACAGGATCAGGCATCACGGGGAGTCCCCGTCGTGTGCTTGTTGTTATCAGTCGTCTTCATCATAATTCGGAACTCAGAATTCAAAACTGGTGCCCTCAGCTGCCCCGGGATCCGCGAATCGGAGTCAGCCTCCCCTGCCACCTACGTCCGGCTTTGAACCCGCGGCATGTGGGTGCGTCACGTGCTCCGGCCTCTAAACCTGCTGCAAGTGACACGCAGTGTCCCAGCCCCAGCAGGGCGTGACTGTGGGCTGGTGGCCAGGGAAGGCCTCCGGAAGGAGGCAGCGCCCAGCAGGGTGGGGGCAGAGCGTGCTTGAACCCAGGGAGGCGCAGGGAGGACCAGCAGAGCACCCCTTTCCTCCTAACCGCCTGCCCCTGCTCCCCTGCCTGGGACTCCCTCATGGCCCGGAAGTTTCCTGTATCTGCCCCGAAAGCAGCAGAAAACACTTTCCTGGGAATTCCAGGGTTCAAAGTGGTCTTAACTGCCCCCAGAATGCCCCGGCAGGCCTGGCAGTGAGGGAACAAACCCCATTGCTCTTCACACCTGCTGCTGCCACCAGAGGGTGACCTCGGGGCCCCTCAAGGTCCTCCCCCCACCTCAGCCTGAAGGGGAGGGTCGCCTCCTGGAGCTGTCTCCCGCAAGGGCCCCAGCACGGGGAACACTCAGCCCAAGGAAGCCCCTGAGATCCTTTATGATGTCTCCCAGCAGGGGAAGCTCACCTCCAGGCCGGAGGGTGCGGCCCTGGCCAGCAAGGACGGGGCTGCAGGGAGTGGGCTGTCGGGGGCAGCGCCGGCCTCGAGCCCCAGTCCTCCCACGCGTCCACCTGGTCATTCGTTCCCGCGGCGGAACATCTCCTGAGCACCAACTACAGGCCACGTGCTGTGCAGGGGACGGAGCGCACATTGGCAAGGGCCACGCTGTCCTCACTGAGCTCACAGCCCCTGTGGCACATCAGGTGGGAGCCACGTGGGGAGGCCGGGGTCTCCGTCCTTGCCCGAGAGGAGCTCACGGTCTCAAGAGCTGACACAGCGTGAAAGGGCTAGGAGAGGGTCTGCGGGACGTCTCCGTGGACACGCGGGCACACGACAGCCAGCCGGGGAGCGTGAGGCCTGCAGACTGGAGTCCGCCCGGAGAGAGGGCAGGAGAGAGGGCAAGCCTGGAGATGGGGGAAGCACCACCGGCAAAGGCCTGGAAGGAGACCTAGAACCTTCCAGAAGATTGGAAGACCTGGAGCAGCAATGATCCTGGGAGCCGGGGCTTAGGCAGGAAAGGGGAAACCACCACGGAGCTTTAGGCGGAGGCTGTGAGTGGTCAGATTTACATGTTAGAAAATGGCCCCGGTGGGAGGGCGGGTTGGAGGACGCGGCCTTTGCCTGGCAAGACGGACACCTGACCTGCAGTGGGGGAGGTGCCCACGGGACGGGGGCAGACTCCACAGGCTTAGGGGAGAATCGACAGGATGGGGCGACCATCTGGATGTGGGGGCATTCAAGAAGGAAGCTGCCACCCAGCCTCTGGCTCCAACAGCAGGAAGGACAGTTGAGCTATTCACCAAGGGAGGGCGCTGGGACAGGGAACAGGTTTGTGGCGAATGGTGAAACGGTTCAGTTTTGAACTTGCTGAGTTTGTTGTGTTTGTGGGACAGCTAAGAGATGCTAGAAAGTGTCAGATGTTCCTGCCTGGACCTTGGGGGTTACAGATTTGGAAGGCAATGGCAAACTGACGTCATATGAGGTCATACAGTTTGTAAATGACAGCGAGGATAAATCCAGAGGGACACCATCTTATAGCAAACAGGGAAAGCAAAAGGAAGAGAGACCCGGGGAGAGCTGAACAAGAGAGAGAAGAAAAAATCAGGGAGAAAAAGAGTGAGTGCATTCGGGCTTTTCTGCATAGAACGGCAAAGTCAATTCAAACCGACCTAAATAACAAAAGTGATTTAAAGGCACACGGGACACGTGAAGAGCCAGTGCTAGCTTCAGGTTCAGTTTGATCCAGCTGCTCTCCCAATGATATCCAGGATCCAGTCTCTTTCTGTCCTTTGGCTCTGCCTTCTGCGGATCAGCTTTATTCCAACACCAGCTGCCAAACACCCAGGTTTCCTACTTCCCCCTCCAAACCCCAGGGGAAAGAGGCCACATGACCAGAGATCTCCCAGAAGAGCAAGGAAACTTCTTACCTAGAAACTACCAACGAAACTTTCCCCCCAAACTCATGATCTTGTATTTGGTCACATCTCCATCCCTGAACCAGTTTCTGTGGCTCTGATTGGCTGATGCCAAAGCCATTTTCCCCAGGCTTAGAGCACGAGATGGAGTCGATTTTCCACAAAGCACACAGAGGAGGGGATTCCTCCAGTAAAAACAGGGTACAGTAGTTACCTTATTACCGAAGGGTAGAAAGAATGGCTGTTAGGGGGGCACAATGCAAAGCAACACAGATGAGAGTTTTCAAGAAAGAGGAAGAGGTCAACAGTGGCAAAAATGACAGGGAGGGCAAGAAACACCCAAATGGAAAGTGTGCGCTTTGTGACATGGGATGGGGGTGTCCATTAGGAAATTTCTCCCGGAAATTGTAATCCTTGCAGGGAGTCGGCCATGCACAGGCTTCAGCTAGGATGTGTGCGTGCACACGCATGCATGTACTGGCCTTAGAAAGGATGAGTATGCTAGTACGTGTGTGTGTACACGTGTACATGCCAGCGCGTGCACCCGCACACGCACACTGGGAAGGAGGGCGTGCCCAGCAGGGCAGGGTCTTGTGTGGCGATGGAGGCACAGCCCAGAGCACACTCTGAGGGGAAAAGCAGGAATCCAGGAAGTGGCAAGACACGAGCTGTGAGCAGAGGCCAAATCCCGGTGGCTCTAAGAAGGGTCCCACTGGGCCCCTTCGACATGGCGGTGAAGGCCGTGGGCACCTCTGCAGGGCCCTGAGCAGGGGGTGGCACAGCCACACTGAAGGCTAGGAAAATCGCTGTGGCCTTGGTGTGAGAAAGAAAGCAGGTGGGGAGAGCGCTGGGGAGGCTACGGCGGAGCCCTGGTGGCCTCAGCAAAGGCGGTGCTGGCAGGTGGTGGCGGGAAGAGGAGAGCTGAGATAGTAACAGACAGAGACTAGGGCTGGGG